TCTTCAATGCTCATTTTTTGATCGTCGTCGCCATGTTGTAGAAAATCGTTAATGAGATAGAACTCGGTTGAAACGGCGAAAAAGTGATTTTATCGGTAAATATGACTTATGCTTGATGCGGGACATCAAATCATTTAAATAGCTTCATGCCGCCGGACATCAGCAATCGTTGATTATGCGTTGGTTATGCAATGTAATGTGGGACCGTAGGTTTTATCCCAGGCCTCTTTACATTACTGAATTGATAGGGTCGAATCATTTGCCTTCCAGCCAGATCCCCAGATCGCAAGTCTTATTTGCGTCAATTTCGAAAATCAATAAATTATATCAAAAGTACCATCACATCTCTTATCAAGGTGAATCCTGATCCAGCGAACCTTACCTACTAACAAAATATTCCTCCTGTGACCTTTGTGGTGACATAAACACGGTCCCCAAAACAACAAAGGTCGTTCTAGTATTCCTTCCCTACCCTACTTCCCTGATTGCAAGTACGTGACCGGCGTCGTTATTGATCTTTAAAAATTGAAATCCTGAAACTTTTACAATGAGAATGGAAGGTCACTCCCAACCCTATTCAGTTGATTCATTGTGTAATTTCACTGGTTCTGATCAATCACGGAGTAGCAACCAGCAGTAGCAGTAGCAGTCAGTCTAAGCTAAGCTAAGCTAAGATGTTATGATGATATTTATCACGTGCAAGTTGCAAGAAGAAATGGTTAAGTATGTGTTTGACACATACCTTACCTTACCAATCAGGCTAAGGCCTTGTTGTCCTCTGCTGTCCGAAGAAGTCGTCTCCACTCTACTCGATCCATGGCCACAGTTCGCCAGCCTCGTAGTCTGCGAAGGGTCCGCAGGTCACCTTCTACTTGGTCGATCCACCTTGCCCGCTGCGCGCCTCTTCTTCTTGTTCCTGTTGGGTCGCTTTCTAGAACCATTTTCACTGGGTCGTCGTGCGGCATTCTTACGACGTGCCCAGCCCACCGTAGTCGCCCAATTTTTGCAATGTGGACGATGGATGGTTCTCCCAGCAGCTGGTGCAATTCGTGGTTCATTCGCCTCCTCCACGTTCCGTCATCCATCTGCACTCCACCGTAGATGGTACGCAACACCTTCCGTTCGAAAACACCAAGGGCGCGTTGGTCCTCCACGAGCATAGTCCAGGTCTCGTGGCCGTAAAGGACCACCGGTCTAATCAGCGTCTTGTAGACAGTCAACTTCGTGCGGCGGCGAATTTTATTCGACCGGAGCGTCCTCCGGAGTCCAAAGTAGGCACGATTCCCTGCCATAATGCGTCTTTGAATTTCTCTGCTGGTATCATTTTCGGCGGTCACCAGTGAGCCCAAATACACGAACTCATCGACCACCTCGATTTCGTCACCGTCAATCTGAACTCGGGGTGGGAGGCTAACATTGTCTTCCCTAGAACCTCTTGCTTTCATATATTTTGTCTTTGATGCGTTGATGGCAAGTCCAATCCGTTTAGCTTCAGCCTTCAGTCTGATGTACGTTTCCGCCATCATCTCAAAGTTCCGTGCCATAATGTCAATGTCATCGGCGAAACCAAGGAGCTGGATGGACTTCCTGAATATCGTGCCACTCGTGTCTATCCCAGCTCTTCTGATCACACCTTCTAACGCGATGTTGAACAGCAGACACGAAAGTCCATCACCCTGCCGTAACCCCCTTCGAGATTCAAAGGGACTCGAGAGTGTCCCCGATACTCGAACAACGCACGTCACTCGATCCATCGTCGCCTTGACCAATCGCGTCAGTTTATCCGGAAATCCGTACTCGTGCATAATCTGCCATAGCTGATCTCGATCGATTGTGTCGTATGCGGATTTGAAATCGATGAACAAATGATGTGTGGGCACGTTGTATTCGCGGCATTTCTGCAGAACCTGCCGAATCGCGAAAATTTGGTCCGTGGTAGCGCGGGCACCCATGAATCCCGCCTGGTATTGCCCCACGAACTCTCTTGCATATGGTGACAGACGGCGGCATAGAATTTGGGAGAGTACCTTGTAGGCGGCGCTCAGCAGTGTGATCGCGCGGTAGTTGCAGCAATCCAACTTGTCGCCCTTTTTGTAGATTGGGCATACGACACCTTCCATCCACTCCTCCGGTAATATCTCCTCCTCCCAAATCTTGGCAATTACCCAGTGCAGCGCTCTAGCCAGTGCTTCACCACCGTATTTCAATAGCTCACTTGGTAGTTGATCTACACCAGTTGCTTTGTTGTTCTTCAGCCGACCGATCTCCTCCTCAACTTCTTGAAGATCAGGGGCCGGTAGCCTGTCGTCTTCTGCGCGTGCTCCAAGGTCTGTTGCCGTGTCACCTTCGTTTTCTGCTGCTTCACCGTTGAGGTGCTCGTCATAGTACTGCTTCCACCTCTCAATCACCTCACACTCGTTCGTGAGAAGGTTACCGTCCAAGTCCTTGCACATATCGGCTTGCGGCACGTAGCCTTTGCGCGAACTATTTAGCTTCTCGTAGAACTTCCGTGTGTCGTTTACGCGGTACAGATTTTCCATCGCCTCGCGATCTCGATCTTCCTGCTGACGCTTCTTCCTTCGGAAAACCGAGTTTTGTCTGTTCCGCGCTTGTCTGTATCGCTCCACATTCAATCTCGTGCGGTGTTGCAGCATTCTCGCCCGTGCTGCATTCTTCTCCTCTACTAACAGTTTGCATTCGCCGTCAAACCAGTCATTTCTTCGGTCCGGGATTGCAGTACCTAGTGCCGCTACAGCAGTACTACCTATGGCTGAACGGATGTCCCTCCAGCCATCTTCAAGAGAAGCTGCGCCAAGCTGCTCTTCCGTGGGTAGTGCAACTTCCAGCTGCTGCGCGTAGTCCTGGGCAACTCCGGTGTCCCGTAGTTGCTCAATGTTGGGTCGCGGCGTTCGACTTCGACGTGTGTTATGCACCGTCGAGAGTTTTGAGCGCATGCATACTGCAACTAGGTAGTGGTCCGAATCTATGTTCGCACTGCGGTACGTGCGGACGTTGATAATGTCGGAGAAGAATTTCCCATCGATTAGAACGTGATCGATTTGGTTTTCTGTGTGTTGGTCAGGTGATCTCCAGGTGGCTTTGTGGATATCCTTGCGGGGGAAAAAGGTACTTCGAACTACCATACCCCGGGAGGCTGCAAAGTTCACGCATTGTTGGCCGTTGTCGTTCGATACGGCATGCAGGCTGTTTGGCCCGATTGCCGGTCTATACATTGACTCCCGTCCTACCTGAGCGTTCATGTCGCCGATGACGATTTTGACGTCCCGTTGCGAACAGCCGTCGTACACCTGCTCCAGCTGCGCATAGAACGCTTCTTTCTCGTCGTCGGGTCTCCCTTCGTGTGGGCAGTGCACGTTGATGATGCTGTAGTTGAAGAAACGGCCCTTAATCCTCAACTTGCACATCCTCGCGTTGATCGGCTGCCAACCAATCACGCGTTGGCGCATCTTACCCAGCACTACAAAGCCGGTTCCCAGCTCGTTGGTGGTGCCACAGCTCTGGTAGAAAGTAGCCGCTCGATGCCCGCTTTTCCATACCTTTTGTCCCGTCCAGCAAAGTTCCTGCAGTGCTACGACTTCGAAGTTGCGTGGTTGAAGTTCGTCATAGATTAACCTATCGCAACCCGGGAAGCCGAGCGATTTGCAGTTCCATGTTCCGAGTTTCCAATCGTAGTCCTTATTTCGTCGCGTAGGTCTGTGCCGATTGTTCCGATCCGTATTTCTTTCTTCGGTATTTGCAACTTTGTTTTTTTCCAGGGCGGCTTGTTGGGCCTGCCCCAACCCCCTGTCTCGCCGGGGGACCATCGTGCACAGCTCTGTTTAGAGTCCCACGCTGGCACTAGGACGGTGATCAGCCGCTCCTAACATGGAGAACAGACGCCGTTTTGAGCCGCACCTCCATGGTGAGCAGACGCTCAGGTTTGGTGAAGCATTTCCTCTATCACCGTACTATGGTTACCGCGCCAGTGTTCGCGTCGCACCTCTTCACTTTGCTTTTGCCGGACTGGCAACATTGCCCAGGCTACGCCAACCAGCTGTGTCCATGTTTCAGCTGGTAGTCTTTTGTTATCATATGACTCGAGGAGGCGTGAAGTAGGAACTTGTGAGGACCAGGGCTAGGTATTCCGCTCCTTCCAGGTTGTCAACTCACCACTTTGTGTTTGACACATGAAACCTGTCAATTTTGCTTTCATGAATATTCCGATCACAATATTGCTGACTGTGGCTCTCTAAATGCGGAATTGACAGGATTTTTGTATCAAACACATAGATTACAACATATTCTTGTAACTTATGAAAACAAAACTTCATCAAAACATCTCATGATTCCATAATTCTGAAAAACGTGATGTTACAATAAACGAATGGACACAACCCTGATTATAGCAACAAATGATTTCATAATTCCGAAAAACATTTTTCATAGCGAGGGGCAAACACGTAAGTACTTGTACCATAGCTGGTACACACAGAGATTATTTTACTGGGGTCAGTAATTTTTTACTGGGTTTTCAAACAGCTGAAAAAGTCAGTAAACTGAAAATAACGGTCACACGTAATGCAACGAACAATTTTAACATATTTTATTTTTTATCATCAAATAAATGTAATAAGAACACAGTCTGTATAAATTTCAAGAAAAAATCACTTTTATACAATTTTTTACAATTTTTTAAGTTTACTGACTTTTTCAGCTGTTCAAAAACCCAGTAAAAAATTACCGAACAGGGAGGCCGTGATTTTGTGTGTACCCTTTATTGTTTAGACAATATGAATGGTTTTCAAATGCACACGATTATAAAACATAAAAAAAGACAATCAATTGACAATGGGTTGATACATTGCTTTTTTTAAAGCAGAGAACGAACGATACGAGCTTTAACTTCTAATGAAATTTCTCCTCACCTTTCTTAACTATAAAATGAAGGATTAAATAAATAGATGTATGCCATATGCACTAAATGTAAGACGTCAACTTACCTTTTGCAAACTATGTCTGCGATCTGTAAAGAGAAGAATAAATTAAAAAGCGATTAAAACCTTGCTTGGACAGTCATGTTTTTACTTTCACGTGAATAGGAAACATAAATCACAAGCTTGATAAAGCAAACATAGCTCGGAAGGAAAATTTTATTTTCACTTCTCATGTCCAAACATTGCTCATTCCATTGAAAAGCTATATAAATTCACTAGCCCATGAATAGTGATGGAATGGTTCGGGAGCAGCATAAAACGGATGACTACAGAGCGTACTCTGTCGAAGTTCACACACCCTTTCACACTAGAAGAGAAAAGAGGAACTCCATCCTGGAAAAGGTCAGCCAATGTGCTCAGCACACTTGCAGATCAAGCCAGCTGCATGAGCTCAGCTAGTCCTGTATCCGGTGCAACCAGCAAGAGGTGGGCAAAGGTAGAGTGAGATAATGGCTTGACCGGATCGCATTGGTCAACCAGTTGGAAAACAGCACGTAAAGCGTACCTGTCACCCGTTAACTTGCCACACCGCAGAAGTGGCAGCCAGATTATACAGTTTGACCTTTCTCAACGGCAGATATCTAGATGTAGAGTCGGTTGCATGCCTGTGGTCTGGTTACCAAATCCTTTGCAGTGAATGTATGATGCCCATCGACATCAACCGCCGGCACGTTTCAATATGCATCGAGATTGGCTTTAATCATTGGGTTCAGGATATAACCTCTCCTTTGACGAGCTATTATTTCCAATAATGCTTACGTGCCATGGTAGTCGAATCAAGTATTATTGCTAGGGATGGTCTCTGAATAAATTATTCGAATGATACAAGAGAATGCTGCCCTTGAATCCTGATTTCATCAGCATACCACGGTGTTATTTGTATGAAAACTTTTACGATGATAACCTTTGGATAGCATCTAATTGAAATATAAAATGTAATCCATCAGATTCAAATCGTTATGCTCAACCCTATTCAACGAATGCATTGTGCTGAAATCGAGTATAAATTATCCGTATAGCCAATCATCAGGTTCACTTGAATTTATGCCAAAGCGGCAATGGGTTTTGGACAATACACGTCAGATGAAAATCATCCCCCACATAAAACGACCTGACATGTGGCTACCTCGAATATTTGCTATTGGTTGTGGTATAGTGTAAACGATGGCGTTAGTAGATGGCCGGTAATGGGAGGACTCGAGGTAGATTTTTTGAGGATCAAAATTAGATTTCAGATTTACAAATGATATTGTAGTCGAGAATGAGCTCTGACTTCAAGATTTAAAAAAAAAAGTATGAAAAGTTCAAAAGTACTTCAATAATGCACGTTTGTGATCGGTTTTAAACAGCTACCGTCAAATTGGTTAAAATTAGAGTATATTAGAACATTATTTTTTTAATTCGTTTATTTGGTAAGCCTTTGAAACCAATACGGAGCCGATTAACTCAACATCACTGACTCAATGAACATAATATCTAGCCGAAGCTGTCAACTTTTCGCCAGTATCCACCGTTGTGAAACACCACTACACAGTGATCAAGAACTTCAATCTAGCGGGAACAAAATAATAACTCCAAAACGAGTCATCTAAGTGATTTTGAGCAATGTATTTAGTAATGAAAGTGGCATCTTTTGGTCGAAAAATAATGTACTGAACTTGTACTAAACGGATATTCAAAATGTAACTTTCTTATAATTCATTCTGTAGAATCAATATATTCTACAATGTTGTTCATTAAAATTTAAAACTCTTAAGAAGACAACAAAAACACAGTGGCCTTAGTTTTAAAGGTATTGATTTTTTTAATTTAATTTATTTCATAGGTTATATACACTCCACTATTAATTAATTAATTTAGCTTTATTTAGGAGGCTTTCAGCCTTAGGCTGGTTCGCCTCCAATCACACTCCACTATTATTTTTATCATGAAAATCAGAAATTTTATACATTTTTTTTAGTGAACCAGTGAAAATTTAATGGATTTGGTTAAATCTCTTTAAAATGTACAACTGCTTTTCACTATATAAAAATACATATTTAAAAGTAAATAAACGTTTTTTTTACCTTTTAACCTATACAAATCAATATCTTGAAAACCAAGTTCGCTGTGGTTTTGACGTTTTGGTAAGAGTAAAAGTTGTATATGTTTGACCCTGTCCAAGGATGAGGGGCTTGATGATGATTTGTCAAGTGTAGCTATGATTTTTTTTTTGCAATTTGTTAAAATTGTAGTTTTTCTTCAGTTCATTGATCATGAAAGGTTCATGCGAGTTAATTTCACGGAGCCGTAAATTGTAGTTTTATCATAATTTTAATATTAGCATAAAATAAAATAGTAATTTTAAATTCGCTGTTGTAATGCTAAGGTAACTAGTTTGCTTTGAGTGTAAAGTCAATTTATAAGAAAGTTCTAACAGTTTTTTTTTTTGCACTTCGAAACTTGACGGGTCATACATAGTAGCAGTGACAGTGTCGCATGTCCTAACAACAACTGCCTACGACTAGTGTTCGAGGGGCCGACAGGGCTGAGTACGGGTCAATACTAATAAAACTCTAACACTAACATGACCCCGAAACTAAGGTTCATCCATTGCACTAATAGTTATAATGTAGTTGTACTTTCCTAATAACCCATCTATCACAGACAAACAGACATAACACTCGGTTGGACAGGTTGTTCATCGAATACGCATTTGACGGTCAATTCGAGTGTTTTTGGTTGGTAGTGCCGCCACCTGTGGCGCGCACGGTCGGTTTCCTTGCGTTTGACGTCTGCACACTAGCGCCATTTGTTCAGCGTACTATCCATCACATGATACTCAACAGATGGTGGTAGTGTTTTAGTGACTATGTTTTGTGGAGAAAAATATTAAATGTGTTGTTTCTGTTTGTCAGACTTGGTAAAAATACCGCTCGGTGCGGCTCCATGGCAACCTACTCATGTACACGCAATTTAGAGACTAATCATTTTTGAGTCAAAAACACCTCAGTCCAGCCAAAAGGGAAGTTACTCAAAAATGAGTAAACATGTGTTTACTCAAATTTGAGTAAACGTGCCTATAGAGGAAACTGGGTAACGGTTACTCAGATGATGACATTTATCACCTGAGTATACCTTACTCATTTCGATAGAAACGAATGAATGTCTCATGAATGCTTTATATATGAATGTTTGCGTCCAGGAAGAATATTAAAAAAAAAAAACCTTATGAAATGATAGTTATGTTTTTATTGATTCCAACACTAACTAGCTGCTTATAGCTTTCGCCATCCAAGCTATTACTAACCGGTGGAAACTAACGATTTTAAATGGGCTAACAGTGGACTAGCCTATCGGTCCCAAGTACATTCATTAACGTACCAGAGCAGAGTCAAAAAGTTGAGCACGTTTCTTCGGGACCTTCTGGTCTTAGAGTTACCTTTATGCCATTACGTAGCAGCTTGATTATCACTGCTTCACTTCTAAAAACTAATTTTAGACTCATTGTGCAAAAGTCGTCTGTTCACAACTTCAAAATGCGCCATTTTGAATTAATTCAAAATTGATATCAGAACCATTTACCCAGAATCTGGGTACATTCCAGTCATCGGAGCAAAACCAGTTTACTCATTTTTTGACAACTACCCAGTCACTCAGTAGCCTCAAAATAGCGTGTATGCTCGGCACTGGGTTTCTTTGTGTTTGTGCAACATGTTGGCACGCCACCGAACCAAAAGAGAAGCCCGAACGCGGTGCTATGGGCTTAGGCTCGGTATCGTGCGACACGGTGCCAACGAACCGCTCGTGATTTCGTTTCGTAGCAATCAATTCGACGTTGAATTGAATTCATAGTTCAAATTGAGTAATCAGTAAGCAGATTTCTCTTGATATCTACCACCAACCAATAAATTTTACCCCGTTGATCAATTTTCCCTCGGATCACAGTAGTAATTTTTTTTTCAATAATTTTTTTGTGGCGAAATGTGGATGATTTTCTTCTGATTTTTTTAAACAAATTTCGTATTTTTTGTTATTTTTGTCCTACCACCTTGATATGAAAAAATACCATTGTGGTAGGACGAAAAATACGATCGTCATTTGAAATTCAAACTTCGAGAGCAGATAATATGCCCTCCCCTTCCTAAGGATAATAGTCCGGGCAGTGCTGTTAATTTTCATATCATTCGATTGAAGATGAACCAATTCAACCATTCAATCAATTCTGTGCAAACGAATTCTCACATGACCATAATTTGAAGAGTCCCTTTCTCATTCGAAGCTCATAGTCACTGTCAATTGAGTCACTCATTATGATTTGATATACGACAGTCGAGTATGGAAGAAACCCAGCAAAATGGTCCCGAACATTCAAGTCGACCCGATGTCGCATCAATGTAAGGCATTTTTTTGTCAATGTCAACCCAATATCGTGTTATTATCGGGTCAATGTCGGGTCCACATCGGGTTGGGGTTTGGTAAAAGTCAGGTTGGTGTCGGGTTGGCTTAGCTTTTTCGCCGGTATATCGACCAGAGCTCCGTCTATGTGTAGGTTACACTCAATTGAATGATATAAAGCGCTTCTCAAATGAGAATGATCCATGCTTTCGTCAAATGACTAAGCAACTGATATCACTCATTCGAAGGAGGTCCCCTTTGATAGCGGATAGCTGCTTTTCTCATTTTCATCAAACATGTTCAATTGATTTTGAGAATTTACAGCACTGGTCCGGGGTCCCTGGATAATTACTACTACTAAAAATAACATCCCGTAAAATTTAAAGGGTTGTATCAGTATCTACACACTTAGAAATTATCGCCGACTTCGGTAATTTTTACCGAAATCTGAACAGCTGAACCGTTCGGTAAAATTTATGCAATTCAATTCAGTTGCTTTTCAGCTGCTTTGAAACTGCCACTAAAATGACGATTTGATGATATAAGCAAGGTTGAACATGTTTTGAAATTATTTTCAAATTCAATAGCCGTTAAAATGAAGGTCAAAGTTTTACCGAAAGTTCAGCTGTTCTGATTTCGGTAAAATTTACCG